CTCCAGTGTCATTCAGATTCCTTACTTAAAATCATCAAAACAAAAAACCCTGCAATAACAGTTTCAAAATGAATATTTTAAACCTGTCACAACAGAGAAACTTTATTGAGAGCTTTAAGACCCTGATCCTTCAAAGCAATCTGCCTGGGCAGTACCTTAGGACCACGTGAAGTCCCATGTACTTTGATAGGAGTCCACATAGGTTGTAAAGGTCTGCTTACATGCAATATTTTGAAGAATCAGGCCTCAGGCTGCACTGTTAAGAATTCAGAAGTGAATACAGCAAAATTAAGGTCCAAGACTGTCATTTTGTTCTGTGGCTAGCACAATGAAGTCCTGGTCCATGACTAGGGCTCCTTGGTGCTATAGGAATACAAATAATAATAAGGCCCCATGTACTCTGACGCAAGGTGGACCTGTATTCTGCAGCAAAGCCATTTTCGTTTCTGCAACACTCTGGTGCATGAGACTAGAAATTCTGTGGAAGCTTTGTGCAAATTTTAAGATGTAATTTTTTGTTTATTTAAATGTTAAAATGAATATTATCACTACTGTATCCTTTGTGTTACTTACTATGTCTTGATTATGAAAAACTTACATGTATGTTTAACTTTATATGTTTTGAGTAATCCTGGTTAAATTAGCGGGGTTACCCACTGCACAGAGTTAAAAGTGTGACTCTGTATGGCAGGGGCCGGCAACTTTCAGCATGTGGCCCATCAGGGTAATCCGCTGATGGGCCGCGAGACATTTTGTTTACGTTCACCGTCTGGAGGCACGGCCCCCCACAGCTCCCAGGCCACGGTTCGCCGTTCCTGGCCAGTGGGAGATGCGGGAAGCAGTGGGCTGCAGTGCTAGCCGCCGCTTCCTGCAGCTCCCATCCACCGGGAACGGGGTGAACCGTGGCCGCTGGGACCTGCGGGGGGCCGTGCCTCCGGACAGTCAACGTAAACAAAATGTCTCGCGGCCCGCCAGCGGATTACCCTGATGGGCCACATGCTGAAAGTTGCCGGCCCCT